TTATTATTATTATTATTATTATTATTATTATTATTATTATTATTATTATTATTTCCATTTAGATTTTAAGCACTCATTATTATGTTTTGATAGATCTAAATAAACTACGTTTGAATCCTTTCTCTTGCCAAACTATATGTCATTTTTCATAGATTAAAAGACAAAAACACGAACTACCAAATCATTATTTAATTTGATCATAAACATGGCACATGATATATTGTTAATAGTTAATTTTCACGTCGTGTTAGACACTACTTTGAAATTGGAATTAAAAATGATAACTAAAATAAGTATCACCGGTTAGATCTACTCCTTGGATGACATTGTTATTAGTTGTGTCACAACTTCAAAAGATAATTGCAGTATCAATCACAGAAGCCGAATACATAGCTGTCACCGAAGCCAGCAAGGCGATAATTTGATTGAAATTTTTTTAAGAATAATTAAATCTCTCTCAGGAAAATGTCAGCCTCCTTTGTGATAGTGGAATTAACATCTACCAAGCAAAATATGTTGTCTTCCATTCCCAAACAAAGCGCATGGAAGTTAAGCGCCACTATGCTTGCACAACTTAAAGTTGATACATAATAGCTTGTCAAAATTAAAAGAGCAAAAAATCCTGAAAATATGCTAACATAAGTGGTATCTACTGAAAAGTTGAAGCTTTGTAAAGCCTCAGTTAACCTCTAAGAATGATGGCATGGAGACGCATTGGAAAGTATTCAAACACAATCACTAAGTCAGATCATTATAAATTCAAACTCGAAGTAGGATATTTGTAAGTGTGGAGTCAAAATTTTTAATTATTGAAAATAGTTGCTTTTTTTATACCATGAAAGTTTTAAATGTTAGATATTACGACGTTCTAAATGTAGGCCACCACAAACTTCTAAATAGATTTTATTATAAAGCCCTAAATAGAGGCTATCACAAAAGTTTATAATGGTGGCTACAAAATTTATTAATAGTGATTGATCATTAGTGTTGGGAGGTATACTATTCATTGTATAAACCCATGTAATCCTCATTTGTAAAGCATCTTATAAGCACAAGCAAATGAAAAGAAGAGATAAAGAAGAGAGAATAGAAGAGAAGTGAGGAAGTAGCTCTTGTAGTAGAGAAGAGAACATGGAAAGAGAAGTAGCATCAATGTTCATATGTGGTGTGATATCTCTCTATGTGCTTTTTTAAAAGCTTGGTGGAATATTTAATCTCTATGCAGCTATGAATGTAGGTGAATGTCACCTAATCATGTAAACTTTTGTCTTGTATTTGAGATCTTTGGTATGGTTATTCTCTCATCTTCATTTTTTTCTTATAATTTTACCACTATCCTAACGAACTCCACAAAACAGATTTAGTTTTGGATGCAAAAACAAAATTATCCAATCAAAGGATATTCAAATTGGGCCTTACTTAGGTTTGGTAGACCAAATCCATGGGATGGCCAACCATCAATTCATGTTGTGCTCTTGATCCTCATCCAATGGTCTAGATATTATTTATTTTAATTTTGGTCACCAAGCATCTGAATGTCATTGCTTCTTCACTCGTGAACTCCTGCTGACTTGATTTTTAATTTTTATATAAATAGGAAAATTATGATAATTTTGAATTAAAAATAAGTTATCATTCTTGAACTAAATCTACAAAACATGCTTATTTTTTGAATCGAAATACTTATCCAATCAAAGAAAATTCGAATTGAACCTTATCTAGGTCTGGTAAATTGGATAATGTTCTCTAGGATGGCCAACCATCAATTCTTATTGTTTTTGTCTTCATCCAACAATTTAAATTTTCTGCAGCTAGATTTTGATCAGCAAGTGTCTGACTGAGGATTTGTCTTTATGTGTGAACTCCTGTTGACTTATCTTTAATCTCAACAATGGAAATTGGCGACACAACCCTTGACCATCTTCATCAATAGATTTAATTATCAAAATCTTATTCATCTTGATCCCTTTGATCTTTTCATGATGTGATGCTCGAATCACAATCATGGACAATCTATCTAACCATGCACTTCAGATCACCTAAAATTTTTGTTGATGTACCAAATCCTATAGTTGACCTTCTTTAACTTCTTATAGTGATTCTTGCTCTAGTTCACTTGTCACTATCTCAAGAGAGATGCTATTTCAGATTATTAGAATTCAATTTAAGTCTTATCTAAAAGAGATCATTTTTGGGCTTTGAGTACCATCATCATTGTTTAGTACCTTGTTGATTCGCATTGCTATGATACATAGATGTATGAATTTTGGTGTCACCTAACACTCACACCTCCAAATTTGTGTTCGGACATTTTGCTCCTGTTATTCTGCTGTTCGGACGTTTCATCCATCCAAATGATCCAAGGGTGTTACAATCTCCATTTCAGTCGCCTCTTCAAACTTTTTAGGCTAAGTTTATTGTTAACTAGTTAAATTAATGTGGTACAAGGCAACTAGTGTAGCCCATAAAAGATTGGATTTTCATAGGCCAATTAAAGGATAGTCTAATCGAAATATACTAGATCAATTTTTAATATTTTTAGGCCAATTTATATTTATGGTCACGTTTTTATTTATTTAGTTTCTTTTTCTAGGGTCAATTATTTTCTTCTAGATAATAATATGTTTGAATTTAATTTTTTAGGTAGGATTATATTTTATATTTAGATGAGGTTATATTTGAATTTTGGATTTAATTTATTTGGTTTTATCCTTGCAACCATACTTCCTTAAACAGGGATTGGTGGCTTATTTTACGTAATAAGCCATCGACAGTTTAATAAATACAAATTATTTGCAATGCCAATTGTGTAGTCTTTAGATCCAAATTATGTGGGAGGAGTTGCTTCAATGTTCCCCCTCCAGTAACTAGGTTTATGTATGCAGTTTTATCCATTTCATTCAAAGAAAATTTTTCCATATTTTGAAAGTATGACCTTCAATTCATAGTAGGGTAAACCTCACCATTATTTCAAACCCAACTTTTAATTTATGTATATATGAATTTTTTTTATTTATTTATAAATTATTTTTCAAGCTAGGCTTGGCCAAGGCTGATCTTATTTCCAACTTGTCAGTTGGCAATCTTTTTCCACAATGATTGCTTCTTTTACTGTTGCATGCGTATATAATCAATTGATCTCTGGAGAGGGCAAAACTACAATATTGTTTAGGTGTCACATGTTTTTAATTGAACAAATGATCATTCTTAAAATATGCATTTTCTCGTATGTAATATTTGGATTTTGTTTGAAATAAACTCTCGTCATACACTTTGGTTTTATAATGTGGTAATTAAGCTGCTGGCATTACTGCATTTGTGTCTGCATCTTCAATTTCGTTTTCACCAAATATTTTGTTTACAACATCTTCATTTATCGATTTTTTTTATTTTTCAATTGAATGGAACTAATTTCTTTCGTTATTAGCAACACTCCTTTTTTTGGTTTGGCTGTAATATCTGACTTTTTTTTCCTGCTGTTTACAATTCTTAAAATGTCAATCACCATTTGACCTCCGGCTAGTCATCAATTGAGCCAAAGTTGTGATAAATATTTCGGAGGAAATTAAAATACAAGGACTTCGAACATTTCATTATCTAATACTATTTTTCCATGTTTCATGCTCTCTGTATTACTGGTTTTAAATCATCTGTTGCAGTTAAACAACTCTGAAAAATTATGCTGCCAAAAACCAATAAAAATAAAAATAAAGATAAAGATAAAAACCTGTTTGGATTATGGGATTCCCAACTGACAGCGGGTTTTGCACGTACTTTTCTTACCGTAGGGCTAAGCTCTGTGGGACAATTTTTGCTTGCAGGATTTGAACAAAGAGTTATCTCGAAAACTGGAGGCACAGACCCAAAGGTTAGAACTCTTGACAGCTCAAAGGATGGCAAATGAGAATAGCTTGACAAAGCCTACAAATACCGACAACATTCCGGATACAATGGAGTATGCTGATGAGGGAGATGAGGTATATTCATATTCCCGGTCATGTTTTATTGACGAGGAAACAACATTGCCTTTGCTAAATGTTTTGCTCACTTCATTATTTATGCATGCTGGGTTCACATCATGCAAACAAGAGAACTGTCGGATTGTTAATCAGACATCAAAAGGCTTGGGAGAGTCGTTTGACCTTTTATTTTTTCCTTTCTCTGCTTCTTTTTTCCTTTTTAATCACTTATATTTTCCGTCTTTAATTTTGCCAAACATAAAATTTCACTTTCTGTCAAGCAGGTTGTTGAGAGAGTACTGGGCTGGATATTGAAGTTCTTTCCTGGGGGTTCTTCTAAACGTCGCACCAGCAAGCTTCTGTGACTACAAAAGGAACCATGAAGATACATAGAGAGACAGAGAGAGAGAGAGATTCATCCTTAGGGTGGTGTTTATACACAAATGCTGGCAGGATTAAGATCTCATCCTGCGTATATTGTCATTGTTACAGAGAAAAGCAGTGAAATTTGTGGCTGTTCTTCCTTTGAAAAGCATACGTGGGAGAACAATAGCTCTTTGGAGAAATAAGCAGCAGCATCCCCATATCCTCTCTCTTATGTACTTCTCATTTATTCTTTATTGAAGTTTTTGAATACACAAAGGGTTGAAAAATTGCACAGAAAATGTATGAAATAATCCTTAATTTGGTTTACCATTATTCTTTGTTACATATTCTTTTTTCTGGCTTGTGGAAAGTGTGCTTGAAGGCTAAATTTTGATTGACAAGATTGATCTTAAAAATGGCAAGCCAGTTTGTAATGATCATTGAGCTGTAAGATTCAGTTTTGACTCTCGCTGTGTCATTTGTAGTTTTTGCCCATATTGTGTCTGTTCCAAGTTTCACAGGGGAAGTGAATCAAATGTTATGAGTTTCTTTTGGAGTGGCAACAGGTAGATTTCACGTTTACAAAAAAAAAATGTTATTACGGTTATCCACTTTCACGGTTCATAGCCCAACTTAGGCTTTGTTTGCGACAACTTTCTTACTATTTTTAAAAATGATTTTTAGTAGAAAAAAATTTAATTAAAAAATTTTTTGTATTAAAAAACTATTTTAGAAAGCAGAAAATAGTTCGAAACAAACCTTAATTGTAATAAATCATTACTATTTCGAGCTGCCCACATCCTTTAATTGTCAGGTAGTTCTCAATATATGTGAAGTTTAATACGAATTCAATTTTCTTTTTGCTAAATATCCCCACCAAAATTGTAGAAATAAAACATATTTATAACTTTCAACAGTGATATGATCAGTTTTGTCACTCAAAATATTTAGATGCTTTAAGACCAAAATGTCTGATTATGCGAGCCTTATAAATAATTAAGATTTTATTTTGAACAGTTTTCTTATTAGTAAGAAATTAACTCAAATTAAACTTATGAGGACATGAATTATATATTAAGAAGCGCAAGCGAGGAATTTTCCATGCCTCGAGGCTGCCATTTGGCTCGAGCTTTGCACTCTCTATGGCATCTGAACAAAGTTACTATAACGCTAGCAACTCATTCCTTCTTCCCCTACTTCTACCGCCCGCCGGGCACAGTTACCTCAAGTGTATGAATTCGTGGAGGATAGATTCGCCGGTGAAGCTTGGGCCTTTTATTGCTATTTTGTGATCCCCCCTTTCAATTTTTGTTCTAATTGAAATGTTAAATTTATTCCAAATAGCAAAGCAAAACCTCCTTTATGAAATTAGATTGAAATAGTAGTGGAGCATTGATTTTTCAAATTCAATTCATTAGGCTGCTAATCTAGATGTTTAAAGATGAGATGAAGAAGCTAATCTGTACTAAGTATAGCTATTGAACATTGAAAAACAGTAAAAAAATTCAATTAAACAATTACAATGTGAGGCAATTAAGGATATTAGAGTTACAAATTTTACATACTAGCTATTCTTTATGGCTTTATCATTATTGAAAATTGCGGCAAGAAAACAATTTGTTTATTTTTACTTTTTCGGAAGAGGAATATAGATGGAGTCAAAGCCCTCAACCAACAATGCCAATTTAAAAGAACAGCAAAATCCCTCTTTATTTTGAATCAGACCATCTGAAAGAGAGAGAATGATATTCTTATAAGTTGTAAATATATGAAAAACAATAAATACTTTTTAACAGAAATTCTAAATGAAAAACATTATTAATCGATTGTCTTTTTCCCCACCATAGATTCATAATGTTGATTTATTATACCATCATTTATAAATAAAAGTAGCTTAATCATTTTAGCTTCCTATGTTGTTTGATCAGTCTTAAGAATCTCTACGAAGTGGATCTTTTTTCCTTGTTGAAATTTCGTTAATATAGGAACATAGGATTGATAGCTTGTAAAAAGCAAAATCTATTGTAAGACATAGAACACTAACATAGTAAGCAAAACTATTCCTACATAAAACTTCAGAGTATGCAAGCTTCAAACTCCATGAGTTGGTAAGATCCTCTGGAAAGCAGAAACATGTTGGGATTTGAATCGCTTAGCTGCTGCTCTGAACAGTTTCTTCCATCCCTGCAAAAATGGCGAGGAAGAAAGAAAGAATGAAACTGTTCTTTTTAAATATCTTCTAATTGCAAATAATAATAATAATAATAAACTAGCAGCTAACACATTCTGAGTTTAATGGAACAAACGTCTTTGTCTGATTTCTTTGAAAAAAAAAAACTTTTGAGAGCCAATTTGATTTCTCGGATTAGGCACTTCGTTTGATTTAGTCAGTTGAATGAATGCATATAAATGATTATTTTATTTTCCCAAGTAAAATGAGGAACTAAGAGATCAACGATATATGAATCAAACCACCAAACATGGCATTAGTTTTTCTCCTCGTTGCAAGTTTAAGTTGATCGGCTTTCAACTCATTTTAAAAAGCCAAAAATCTCACCCTTTTGGGAGTTGGATTAGGAGAGAACTCCAGCCTTTTCTTGAAGTTCCCCTGCATCACCTTCCTCTTCTTCTTCTTGATCATCTTGTCCTTGACTGTTCTCAGCCCCCCAGTAGGAAAACCCCGAGAAGCTCCACAGATCTTCTCCTGATACGCAGAGCACAACAGATTCCGGCCTCGAGGAAGTAGCGGAGACCAGATCTCACTCTGAGAGTAGTCGAAGCCGAATGCCGAGTCGTCCGGGAATTTGCAGAGAAGTTCTCGGGACATAGAAGGGTCGAGATACTCAACGGTGATCACACGCTCAACGATCATTTCTTTCAGATCGATAGAAGGAAGGCTACAATAGATTCCAATGGGTTCTGATGGGGGTAAGAAAGATGAGAAGATGGAAAGATAAAAAGAGGTGAAAAGAGAGGAGGTGAGGGAAGAATGGGAAAAGTGACCGTTGGGCGGAACTGTTTGTATAATTGTATCGGGAAATATGACCGTTGCGACTTTTAACAAAGTACAATATGCGAAGTTTAAAAATTATTAAATTTATTTTAACATTAACGATTTATATGAGAACTATATATTGCATTAATATAGGAAAAATCCAATAATTTTTTATTTTATTTTGATGAAATTTATAAGCTTCACGGCTTCACTTTCCTTAAATATCTCCAAATCACTAAACTAAAACCCTAGACTAAGTAGTAAGTACCCTCTCGACCAACCTCACTGTTTTTAAGAAATCTTAAAACTACCCTAAATCCTAACAAATTTTTTTCATAATAGCACCAAATCATAGCACTTCTGATTCTCAGACCAACATCATAATCAACAGCATTTTTAACAAACTGTTCATGAACTAATGCCCTTTGGAGTACACAAAAGCTCCAAAAAATACAAAAATTTTCATTGCCCCCTTGCTTGGGGTTCAGGGGCGAGGGCTCGTTCTTCATTGCTTGGGATTCGAGGGCCTTGACCGTTGATTTTTTTTTCTGTACAGTTGTACTGTAAGCTATACAATAAGTGTAATTTCTTGTATAACTAATGCCACGTCACTTAGACGTTATTTTCCCTTAGCCTTTTATTTCCAGCTATATATATCTGTTGTATTCAGCCTTTTTGAAATAATGAAAAGTCTTTTAACTTTTTCATTTTCTCTTCTTCATGTTTTCGTTCTTCCCTGTTTTACGCTCAAGATGGTATCAGAGCAGTAACTCTCTTCTTTCCCCCCCCACCTCCCGCCTGGATCGCTCACTCCTTTGTCATGGAGACTTCCACGGCCACCTCCATTCCCCCTCCTCTCGTCACCGATGATCAATCGCAAAGCAGCATTTATTTCCCTACCGCTCTCAAATTTCTCATGAGCAATGTCAAGAACATCGTTGCTCATCCTCTTACAGCCGAAAACCACCCACTGTGGCGATCCCAGGTACTCAAACTCTTTCGGGCGAACGGCTACCATGGCTTCTTGGACGGTTCCTCATCAATACCACCGGAAAACATCATCTCCGCATCTGGTCAGTCTGTTCCTAATCCCGCCCACACCAACTGGATCTTGATCGATCAGAACCTCGCGGCGGCCTTATACTCGGTAATCTCGCCAACAATCCTTCCATACGTTCTCACCGTTGAGCATTGTCACGAGATATGGACAATTCTTGACCGAAGGCTTCAATCAAGCACTCGCTCAAGAATCATTCAGCTCAAACACAAGCTCCATTATCTCACCATGAAGGACAAAACTATGGCACAATATCTTCTTGAAATCAAGACAAAGGTTGATTCGCTCGCCGCAGCCGGCGCTCCCATCGCTGCCGAAGAAATCATCCACTACACCTTGGACGGTCTCCCATCCACCTATCAATCGTTTAAGACGTCCATCCGCACAAACCTACAACTGCTCTCCCTCGACGACCTCTACACCCTCCTCTGCAGCGAGGAACTAAATCTCGCACACGAAACCGCCCGGGAGCTTCACTCCCTGCAAATATCAGGCAACTCTACCGCTCTTGCTGCATCGCGCGAACGTGGACGAGGCCGATCAAACTCCTCCCGGGGTCGCACCTATTACAACAACCGAAACTCTTTTACCAACAACAGAGGAGGACGACCACCTCGACCTACCATTACCTGCCAAATATGTGGCAAGAACGGTCACTCCGCCGTCAAATGCTGGCACCGCCACGACGATCAGTACGACACCGAACAGCCTACCACAGCTCTCTTCACTACACCCGTGACTCAGCCACCGACCGAGTGGTATCTTGATAGTGGGGCATCCTCCCACCTTACCTCGGACCCGACTCATCTTCATAACTCGCAACCGTATACCGGCTCTACTCAAGTCACCATAGGTAATGGTCAGCAGCTTCCCATCCACAACATCGGCAAAGATTTGTTACCCACCCCACAAGGTAGCCTCCAACTATCTCGCTTAAATCTTGTTCCTAATCTTTCTTTCAACCTATTATTCGTTCATCAACTTACCACTGACAACAATTGTAACATTACGTTTTCTTCTCATGGCTACGTCATCAAGGACCGGACGAACAACAACACTCTTCTCAAGGTCCGTGTATTAACAGGCTTTACCCTATTCGTCCAGCTCAGAACAAGACCATCGCCATGCCTCAGCTTGCCCTCATCTCAATTCAGTCCGTCCCCGATCTCTGGCACCGGCGCCTTGGACACCCTTCGGTGGCTACTCTATCACAAATAAGGAAACAGTTTCCCCACATTTGTAACACTTCTCTTTCTGCAAATTGTAATTCTTGTAGGATGGGCAAAAGCCATCGCCTAGCTTTTCAACGATCTGTTAATAATAGTTCTTTTCCATTTGAATTAGTCCATTCCGATGTATGGGGCTCGTCCCAAACAATTTCTAACTATGGTTTTTGATACTATGTTAGTTTTATTGATGATTACTCCAAATACACCTGGATTTATCCGCTACTGCAAAAGTCGGACGTCTTTTACAAATTTCTTGAATTCCAGAAAATGATCGAGCGGCAATTTCAAACTCAAATTCGTAAGCTCCGTACAGACAGTGGAGGTGAGTTCATCAACAACAAATTCAAGACCCCCTCACGGCTTAAGGTATTCTCCACCAATTCACGTGCCCCTATACGCCTTCTCAAAATGGCGTGGCCGAACGCAAACATCGCCACATTACCGAAACCACTCGCACACTGCTCATCGAAGCATCTCTACCTCTTTATCTCTGGGTAGATACCCTGCTCACCACTGTCCACCAAATTAATAGACTACCGTCCCCAAATACGCACAACAAATCTCCTTATGAAATCCTGTATCAAGAACCCCCAAACTATAGAAATCTGAAGGTGTTCGATTCCTTATGCTATCATTGGCTCAAACCATATTCCTGCGACAAACTCTCTCCGCTTTCTCATCCATGCGTTTTCATCAGCTATGCCCCTCTTCAGAAAGGCTATCACTATCCTGATTTCAATAACAACAAGGTCTACACATCTCGCCACGTGGTTTTTAACGAGCAAATCTTTCCTTTCAAAACACTCACAACCCAACACCCAACAAACAACAGCTCACCTCAAACCATACCCCCGCTGCTTCTCGTTCCCACTAACAGCCTCTTGCCATAAGTAATCACACTCATGATCCCGCTCAAAACACACATCCGACCCAGCTCACTACCCAAACTTTACACACACTGACTACTCCCTTACCCGCTACCTCCAACAGCCAAAACATCATCCCACCGTCACCTATTCCAAATGCCTGCAGTACACTTCCCACATCCCAACCTAATACTCATCACATGGTCACCAGATCAAAGACAGGAAACTTAAAACCGAAGAAATTTTTTAATCTATCTCACATTCTCCATGACGCGAAACCCACGACATACAATCAAGCTAGCAAAAGCGAGCACTGGCGTGCCGCCATGTCTCAAGAATTTCAAGCCTTACAAACACAAGGAATTTGGGATCTCATGCCTTCCCATCCGACTCAAAATGTACTCGGATGCAAATGGACTTATAGAACGAAACTTAAATATGATGGCACCATTTCACGGTACAAAGCTCTGCTCGTTGCTAAGGGCTTTAATCAAGAATACGGCATTGATTACATGGAGACCTTTAGTCCTGTCGCCAAAATTCCCACTGTCTGCGTTTTTATCCTCATTGCTCTTCACTTCAAATGGGACATTCACCAGCTCGACGTCTCCAATGCTTTCTTGCACGGCCAGCTATCCGAAACTGTCTACATTAAACAACCGCCCGGATTTCAAGACGTCATCCATCCAACGTTCGTGTGTAAACTCAACAAGGCTCTATACGGACTCAAACAATCCCCACAAGAATGGTACACTACTCTTTCTCATCATCTTCAATCTTTCGGTTTTCAAATTAGCAACGTTGACCCGTCTCTTTTCATTTACAAATCGGGCTCCAACAAACTCTATATCCTTATCTACGTCGACGATATTCTACTCACCGGCAACTCGAAATCGGAGATCACACTCCTTCTAACAAGTTTGCACTATCGGTTCCAAATGCGGAACTTGGGACCTCTAGCCAATTTTCTTGGCATTCAAACTACCAACACCTCCTACAACGTGCTTCTTCACCAACAGCAATATGCCAAAAGAATATTGGAAAGAGCCGGCATGCAGAATTCTAAACCGGTGGCTACTCCCATTTCCTGCAAACTCGGAACCTCACCCAGCCCCAGCACAGACTTCCCCAACCCACATCTCTACCGTCAACTCATTGGCTCGCTCCAATACCTCACCCTAACCCATCCAGACATCCAGTTCGCCATGCACAAATTGAGCCAACATATGCACGCCCCCCTCAACAGCAACTTTGATGACCTTAAAAGGCTACTTCGGTACATCCAAGGATCCACTTCTACAGGCATTCCATTATACCGAGATAACTTAACTCTACATGGCTACGTTGTGCTGACTGGGTCAACAATACCCATGACCGAAAATCCATTTCCGGTTATTGTAACTTTCTAGGTAAATCTCTTATCTCCTGGCAAGCTAAAAAGCAATCAACAGTCGCACGCTCATCTACTGAAACAGAATACCGAGCGTTGGCATCCGGAGCTTCGGAAGTTATTTGGCTTCGGCGACTTCTTGCGGACTTCCATCTTCCACAGACTACACCTACAACCATTTACTGTGATAATACATCCGTCATTGCTCTCGCCAACAATCCGGTATATCACGCCAGAACGAAACATATCGATGTGGACTGCCATTTCATAAGAGACTGCATCCGCTCAAATCAGTTATCTCAGTTCACCACATATGTACTAATGATCAAATAGCAGATGTGTTCACGAAGCCACTTCCTATACGAAGATTTAAATTTCTTTGTAACAAACTAAATACTGCTCCACAGTCATTCGTTTGCGGGGGCCTATAAGCTATACAAGAAGTGTACTTTCTTGTATAACTAATGCCACGTCACTTAGACGTTATTTTCCCTTAGCCTTTTATTTCCAGCTATATATATCTGTTGTGCCTTTTTGAAATACTGAGAAGTCTTTTAACTTTTTCATTTTCTCTTCTTCCTGTTTTAGTTCTTCCCTGTTTTACACTCAAGATGTACAACATCACGATATTGTATATTAAAGAGTTGCAGCAATATACACTTGTGCACTGTGTCGTAGGATGCAGCGTGATGGTTTTATAGTCTTGACTTAGAGACAAAGAGTGGAGCATTGCGGTGCTCCAGAGCCAACGCTACGGTGTGATAAGTTGGGTTGGAGAGAGTCTAAAGTGCCGCGGCACTCTAAATCCAAGCATCGTGATGCAGCTAGTTGGGTTGGACAATTTTCTTTCTCTTTTTTAATGTTTCACTTGAAGGTTTGTATATTGTATCCTTTCATATTGTAGAAGTGTTTCTATTTGTTAGTTTTGATGATCTTTGTGAGGAAGTGAAGTGAAAAAATGATAGAGTGAAAGATAAAGTGATTTGTATAATTTCTTCCAATTAAATTTTTTATGCGGTGCGGCTCCATAGTTTTTTCTTGATTTCAATTTTTTTCACATTAAATTAATTTCTGATATTTTATTTCTTTATTTGTTTCTTATTTTAAAATTCATAATATATATATATATATATTGCCAAATCTCTTAACTATTTGATGATGATATGCACAAATAAACATATTCAAATATTAAAAAAAAATGATATGAATGTTAGTTATATAAATAATTAATTATAGGTGCCTTGTATGTAATTTAGTTAATTTGTTATTTTAAAATGATTTTGATTAATTCATTTAATATTCTATTCATCAGTTATTTAGAAAAAAAATGAATTCAATGTTTCTTGAAAAAATCATTAATTATTTCAGATTTTAAAAATATGCAATAGCAATACACTCTTAATTTTCATTTTCGCCTTTTCCATCTTATATAATTTGTTATTTTTAATTATCTTAAATTTATTAATTACATGTATCGTCGACCACCATCATCATTTGAGTTTACATTACAGTTATTTTACTTTGAAATTAGAAAAATAATAAAAATCTTTTTCGTTCTTTTTACTCTAATGCAAGCAATTTCAAACATTTAAAATATCATGTCTTTTTCAGCAAACCAAATAACCCTTAAATATATACACCCACCTAACAAATTATGATAGTAACTTAAATTTGCTTGTAAAACTAGAAAAAAAAAATTATGATAGTAACTTGATTATCACTTGCAAGAATCGTACTGTCAAAACATATCCTTCAAAAAATCATTTAAAATCCCCCCACCCTCATTTTTCACACATTATTTTTATTTTAGATTAATTTTTAGAGATAATCAAGGGCTGAACCAGCCTTAGTTCTCAGGGGGGAAAGTGACAAACTTATTAAAAAAATAAAAATATGTATAAGGGTGCAAAAATAATTTAATTTGCACATAATCATTTTTCATAGACTTATTTGTTAATGTTATTTTAGATTAATTTGGAGATAATCAGGTGCAGAACTAGCTTAATTTAGTTCTTAGGAGGGAAAGCGATAAACTTATAAAATTAAATAAAATTATATATAAGGATGCAAAAATAATTTATTTATCACATAATTGCTTTTTACAAACTTGTTTGTTAGTGTTAGAAAAATTCAACATAATTGGATGAAAATAGCGGGAGTTCAAGGGGCTTTTTGATTTTTGAAGGAACAAATTAAGTAAAAAAAAAGGTCGGATGTGGGCAAAAAATAAATTTCATAGGGGGTAGATTACATATGATCTTTACTATACTAAGAATTTTTTATTTAGAGGAGCAACTGCTCAGTACTACACAGTTTCACCCTCGAAGAAAATGAGCTCAAAATCTTAGAAATCACACATTTATGATGCACGATTTATTACATTTTATTATTACACTCCAAGCAACAATTTAAAGCAGAAGCAAATTCATTTCCATCCATATCTTATGGACTAATTACCTCTCTCTTAAAAGTCACTCATTGGTGACTAGTCACTACTCACTACTCACTAAGCACAAACGGTTCAAATTAGCAGCAGCGGCCGGGCCGGGCCGATCGGTCGGGTTTAATTAAGCCGGGCACTGGAAATCAGCCGGCACATACTTGCCGCAGTTGTCAACGAGAACCTCGAGAGCCAGTGGGATTAGTAAGCTGATGCTCAAAAGGTTGAGCTTTATGGCCGTACAAAGGCACAGAGCCGCGTCCAGCCCGGCCAGCCCTTTCACCACCGGGCAGCAAGCTTCGCCGGCAGACGGCCCGATGCCTATGTGGATAAGCCCGCTAAGCACGTCCACACATGCGTCCAGCTTCAGCACGTCGATGGGACACGTGGACTGCGGCGGCGGGCTTGGCTTCGGTGGTGATGGGGTTGGCTTCGGTGGCGGCGGGCAGGGGGTTTGCTGTGGCGGCGGCGGTGAGGGCTTTGGTGGAGGAGGGGGAGGATGGATCGGCGGCGGCGGCGGCGGGGGATGATGTTTTGGTGGTGGAGTTGAAGGAACCGGATAAGGGCAGGTTGGGCAGGCTGAACAGAGGAGAAGGGAGGATAGCACTGCTAAGATAAGCAATGGCGTTGCTCGTGTTATCTTCGCCATTCTTTTTGAAGATGAGAACAATGGCTACCACTGGAAATTGTTTCTATTTATAGACGAGCACAAATGGGAAAAAATGGAAAGAAATATTTATTCAAGACATAATGAGATAACATTCCATCAAAAACATTTTTTAGAGGGGCACAAATTAAAAAAAAAATTCCCTCAACTTTTTTCATCCGGATTTGGAACCGGCATAGACTCATGCGGACTCGGGACCGGCATAGGCAGTTTTAAAATTTTTTTAAAAAATATTGAATACTAAATATAAGATGGAAAACACTTACAACTTATAGCGTTTGCTATTCATATTTTGAATGAAAAAGATTAACAATTACATCATTATCAATACAATCTAATATTTCCTTCTCAATATAGGCGAGCAAAATATCATTCATCCAATGCCATCAAAAGATAATAATATTTTAGGAAAAAATTTTAGTCCGAATATTTAAATTATTGAATTTATTTATAGATAATCATAATATACATAATCTCAAAACAAATTTAATAATTTCGAAGTTCTTGCCAAAAAAAAAAAAAAAAGAATATTCTAAGCCAATATTTTTCAATACTTTATATAATGTTTTGAGGCTATTTATGAAATAATTTAAATACTAAGGATTATTTCACGATCTTAGAAATATTTTGATGTTTTAATTCATTATTATTTGTTATAAATATATATAAGAATTATAATTATAAATACAATATTTTATTTTCACACAATGCATGGGTAATATATGTATCTCATATAAGGTCCAAAATTTGCAAGCTGGAGTGAGTATTTTATGATTTTATTTGATTGTGTCTCGAGTAGTTAGAATGGGGACTTCTTTGCTATGCGAATCTTCCAAATATATTTTGTTTTATTTTATTTTTACCTTTTTATATAATTATCGTATGCTTCTAAAATAAATTAACATATCTAAAAATATAATGTCCAATGTTATTTAAAAGTTTAATCCTTTGTCATTTACAAATATTTGTAAGGCTTTGTTTGGAACAACATTTTTACTGCTTTTTACGGTAATATTTTAGCATTGTTGTGTTATGGAATATTCATGGCGACAGAGAAATATAAAGTTTAATGTCTTAACTTTGTACGAAAATCCATTACACAATCAGATAAAAGATAGGGTGTAGCGTTCATAAGAGACACCAGAGCTTTTACGTCAAAACCCCTGAAAAATGGAAAACCACGGGGTCTGGCCTGGTTTGAATGAATTCACTAGTTTGCAGTCAATTACAAATAAAGTCCTACATTCAGTGAAGGCCTTTGTTTGATGTAGCATATAGACATCATATAAAGTGCATTACATGGTGTGAATTGGAAGAATAAGTATTTATATGTTTGTTTAGTCGGCAAGACCATAGTCGGCGGCGGAGGTCAGAAAGACCGTAGTTGGGTGACGGTGGTCAGGAGGATCATAGTCGGTGCGCAACAAAGGTCGAAAGGATCGTTATCGGGCGACGGAGGTCAGAAGGACTGTAGTTGACATGTGAAGGAGGTTAAAAAGACCGTACTCTAATGACAGAGGTCGATCCTCCAGTAATCAGTAGGCAACAAAGGTTAGAAAGACCATTGTTTGACGACGGAGGTTGGAAGGACAATAGTTTGGCGATGGAGGAAGGACCGTAGTCGATTGGCGACAATGGTCAGAAATACTATTGTCTAGCAACAAAAGTTGGAAGGACCGTTGTCGGCAGACGACAATGGTAAAAAAGATCGTTGTTTGGCGACAGAGGTCGAAAGGATTGTAGTCAGCAGACGACAGTTGTTAGAAAGATCGTTGTTTGGTGACTGAGGTCCAAAGGACTATAGTTGGCGAGCGACAGTGATCAAAAAAGACCATTGTCTGGTGACAGAGATCAGAAATACTGTAGTCAATGTGTGACGGAGGTCGAAAAGATCGTAGTCTGGTAATAGAGGTCGAAAGGACCGTTATCGGATGATGGATGTCGGTAGGACCGTAGTGGGCATATGATGGAGGTTGGAAGGATCATAGTCTGACGACGGAGGTCAGAAAGACGATAGTTGGCAAGAAATAGTAGTAAAAAAGATTATTATCTGGCGACGAAGGTCAGAAGGACCTTAGTTTGTGTTGATAGTGATCAGAAATATCATTGTTTGATGATGGAGTTCAGAAGGATCGTAGTCAACGGGTGATAGTGGTCAGAAAGATCGTTGTCTGGTGACGGAGGTTGAAAGGATCATAGTCGACATGCGACAGTGGTCGGAAGGACCATAATTAACAGACGACATTGGTTAGAAAGATTGTTGTTTGACGACAGAGGTCAGAATGATCGTAGTCAGTAGGCGATGGAGATCAGAATGAACATTATTTGGTAACGGAGGTCAAAAAGTGTGATGTCCCAGATATCAATAGTGAAATGATTCGTCTGACATTCTGATCGAACTCCATTCCAATTGCCTTGCTCGGACATGAAAATTTCAACCACATATAATGAGCTTTACAAAGCCCAGCAGATCACCTAATACCTATAACTGAAATCAAAGCACGGCTATGCTATCAATATGCATGTCAGTCAATCAAATCCATATGAAAGCCCGTCGCCTCATTAATCCTGACAGGTCAATATTGTGTGTTTTCTATTATCTGCCAGCCAGTACGTTCAACCAGGTTCTCCTACTTGTCTTTCAATAACAATCAACTTCATCAATAGTCAATGCAATAATCGATGCATAAGCAATATTAAAGAAATCTAGAACCATCATATCAATAGTCATACGCATATCAATTCAGCTATCAATTCCGGAAAATCAGAAATCATATCGAAAATCGGGCCAGAGTAACGACAAGTCTGTCAATTTACACAAAAATTCCTGCAAAAAGCACAAATTCCAATTTCTCCAAATTAGCAGTAGAATTCCACGACATCAAATACAAACTATTAATTTCTAATAGAAATCCAAGGATCAATCACGTCTGATATTTTTTTTCTATTCGATAAAAATCGCGTAGAATTAATTCCGACCCGGTAAATCGTCGCAGAAAATACAAATCAAATCGTACAATAGTCATATCTATAACTACACTAAAAGTTGTGCGGTGAAAGTTGTGTGTCAAATCGAAATTCATGTCCAAAATCGATCTACGAAAACACAAACAATGCCTCAACTCGGTCAAAACTCATTCTCTGAAACAGAAATGAGGATTCCGGAGTCCTTACCACGAGATCTACACTTTTCCCAACAAGCGGCGTCGGACGAAAAGGCCTCTGCTCCGCGGCCTCCAAACAAGCTTTTCCTCTTTTCCCTTCTCTTTCTCTGCTCCTCAAATCAGATATTTGTTTTTTAAAAATGATTTTTCTCGTCTCCTCGAACGAGCTGAAACTTTCTGATATATCATATAAGCTTATCGGCCGGCTGATCGGCAAAATCGTCCCGGGACGATCATGACCAAAAATCGAGTCCGTCCGATCGTCCTGGATCTTTCCCAGAATATCTCAGGACAGTATTTTTGAACATTACAGATCGTCCTGGACGATCCTCAATATTGTCCGGACTGATCCTGGGATGGAAAATCCAAGTCAAGAAGGAATGTAAGGGAACGAGGTCTTCATAAAAAGAGCCATAGTTTGTGCTGGGTGAAAGTTCTGAGTCAGTCTATGATCGGGCAAGGAAGTCTATCAGCAGTGGTGGCAGGCAGAAGTCCTGGAGTGGGTAACAACCCAATCCCTTAACTTTCGAGATATGTCCTTTTTTTGCCTAAATTAGCTTCAGCAGTTTTGTTTTGTTGGTGTAAACTTTCTCAATATGTATCACAATATCCCAAAATTTACTCCGGAATGAGCATGCATATATTGTGAAATGTTTCTTAATAAAATTCTAACCATTACATAAAATAGAATGCCTATCGATGTATAGTAGAGTTTAACTTCTTTTGACTTTAAGGGTTTCACATTGACATCAGTCGGATAGCAGGCTCAAAAGCCACAACGATAGTCCGAGATGGTTAGTGTTCTGTCGATAGTGCCAAGATATCCTGGTGCTAAGAGAACTTTAGTTTTCTCTCTCTTCCAACTTGGTGTCCCCCTCAATGAGAAATGAGTGGGTCTATTTATAGTTTTTTTTGAGTGGCATGACGGTAACAATAGGAGGGAGATTCAAGGTTAAGTTAGGAGTAGTTTTGAATGGACGACCGTATTTGCGCACCTGATTATGAAACTGTTTACTAAGCATTTTGAATGTCTTAAATGATATCAGAATTCAGCCAATCTTGCAGCTCTCGTTGGATTCGTCTGGTCGAGCCGCTCGATTTTAACTATAAGCATGTCATATGTTTGGAAATCATTGGTGGCATCCAATTTATAATTTAAACATTTGAAATGCACTTCAGTGTTTGATTGGTCCCATTTGGGCTCTGATTGAGAATCAAATTGGTGTTGTGGGTTTTCTCTTTGAGACGTTCAGTTGACTATAATTTTGCTAAAATCAGAAATTTAATTTTGAAAGTGTTCAACTCCAATTTTACACTTGAGATTTCTGCGTCATATCAAGTAGCAAGTAAAATTTTAGTTTAAAAAAATTTATACTATAAATAATACCTTCAAGTAGAAAAAAATAATTATCGCCAAGGAAAGGCATAGAATCCATTTAACATAGAATCGCGTATCATTGTTGACTCCAAGTGGCATAAAAAATTAAGAGGACGTAGGTGTCCGGGTTTATGAATGGCATTCGAGTTCGAATATAATGATTCAGCGAGTTATTTTAGCATTCTGTGTGCTTCCAAAAGGTTAATAGATTTGGCAGGATCAGTTTACAACGAAAATGAATTGGAGGATCTAATATTTTTGATGAAAACTTTTTATTCCAAATAATTTTAATAATATATATTATTTTTTGCAATGCATTTTTTTTTATAAATATATTTAGTTTCTGTTTGTTATATTTATATTGAATTGATTTTTTGTTCATCCTCACTTTAATTTTTAATGCATTTTTACTATTGTATTATATAATAAAACCAATTTTTTTATTAGGTTTAAATTATTCTTTTTCAACATATATATAGT